CTACATTTCCCATACACACACATATATATATATATATATATATATATATATATATATATATATATAAAATGTTTGGTTTTTTTATTAAACATGTTTCTTTATTCAACCTACAGGCCTGTTGCTTATAATACAGTTATGTCTGACTGCTTAGGGGTGTCAAACTGGTTCCAGAAAGGGCCGTGTGGCTGCAGGTTTTCTTTCCAACCAAGCAATAGCAAAACAGACTCCAGTCATCTCATCAAGTCATCATGTTTAGACTGGACTCACTTGATGAGATGACTGGAGTCTGGTGTGCTGTTGCTTGGTTGGAAAGAAAACCTGCAGCCACATGGCCCTTTCTGGAACCAGTCTGACACCTGTGGCTTAGACAGTGCAGTTTTTTTTTTATATAATTTAATTTTATTAATCTCACACTGGAGAAATTTCCCTCTGCATTTAACCCATCCCCCTTGGGGAGCAGAGGGCTGCCATATTGTGCCGTCCATGGGGCAGTGTGGGGTTAAGGTTTTTTGCTCAGGGACCCAGAGTGGCAGTCTGTGGGAGTGGGGCTCGAACTCAGAACCTCAGGATTCCAAAGTCAATGCCCTAAACACTAGCCCCCACTCCCCCCTGTAACCAAAAAGATGTAAGGTCCTATTTAAACAACCCATAGGAAGACATGAATTAATTGATCAAATTTACAGTATTGTTTCAAATGAATGGTTAATAATTGTAAGAAATCATTAGGAAACATTAAATGCCCCCACAAAAAACAAAAAAATTGTGTCACAACTCAAACTCCTCTAAATTGTTTTGGTTGGTAATTAAAAATAAATATGCAGCTTTCCTTTTATAAAAATAAGATGGTTAAAGTGAAAGTAATAATCAAGTTGTAGTAACACTTTCTGTTACAATTCTGTTGTTACAATTTACTTTATTTTATTGCTTTTAAATTTCTAAAATGCTTTACCCATAATTCACAGACAAACTTTGGTTTATATGTAAAAAAAAAAAACAAAGCAAAAAAAAAAAAAAATCCCCATCAGACATTTGTTTTCCTCTCCTAGAGAGAGAGTATGGCAGTGTTTTTTTTTTAATATTTTTTTATTAAAGGTTTTTGATTTAATGAGCCCTCCTAAAGACTCCAAAGCAGAAAAAACAGAGCAATATTTGTACATAGCTTGCAGATAGGACCTTGGCTGTTTGCATGAGATTTGTGATTTCAAGAATGCAGCTGTTGTTGTTTAAGAATGGTAGTGATTAAACTCTTAAATATCCAAGTCACAAACAGCTTAGTCCAACAGAAACATTACCGTCTACATGTTTAGATTAAGGGGGGAAAGATATGTTACAAACAACAGGTTGGTGATCGTTTAATTTCTTTATTAGCCTTAAGTAATTGGTATGTTCCTTTAAGAGATAAAACTTAGATACTTGCATCAGAAATATAATTATGCATTTTTTATGCTGACTGGCTTGTAGATTGCATTTACTGCTTGTGATGGAGACTCAGAGGAATCTTCTTCAAGTTGTACTGAATAGTAAACTTGGAAACTTTCCTTCAATAGATGGAATTAAAAATGACTTTATTTTGAGGCTATTTTTGTTTATTTATCTCCTCCCATTTAGCCAGGATGGTGCTGGAAATGACAGGTTTTTTTTAAAATGGGAACTTGGGTGAAAATACTAATTAAAGCATTTCTGTCCCTACAGGGAAGCTGCCAAGAGGCTGTTTTGCACATTTCAAATGGAAGTTTAGAGAGGGAATACTGCATCGTCCACAATCAGTCCTGGACTCCTCTCCCAGAGACGCTCGACACGGCTGTAAGTTCTCACCCCTCGAAGCAGTTCTAGAAACCACAGCCGCGCTTTTCCCCTCATACTGTCTATGTGTTGTGGTCTTTTAGACGGCATTCCCGTTGGTGAACCTGACCTCCACCCTGCTGTGCGATGCCTCAGGAGTCCGTCCAGATGTTGTCAAGGACAAAGCGTTGGTGGTGATGAGGGGCGAGTGTGATTTCAGCCAGAAGGCTCTTGTTGCCCAGAGCCTCGGTGCTAAAGCTTTGCTCATCGCCACCAACACAACAATGGTAGGACGTTAAGATTACTTTATTTTTTTATGGTGGAAAAAAAAATCCAGCTCAATTCTGTTCATTGGTTTGATACTTCCTTAGAGTCACAGGCCCAGAGCCTATGCCCCCTCCACTGTACTTCAGATGCTCCAGATGCTTCTGCTTTAAAGTATCTGTTTAACATATACTGATGGAGGTTTATCTAAAGAGGGAAACCTCTTTGTAAAACAGTAGATAATCTGGCAGGGATAAAGAGATTGGTGCAGTTTGAGCTCTGAATCTGAACAGATGATGGGTGTATTCGATTTCTGAGGCTACTTCCTCCAAGGACCCAGTCTATCTGAACTGAAAATAAAGAGTCCAGAGGAGTTCTTGCTGTGGATTCAAATAGGTCCAGCCTTCTCTGCTGTTCACCGCCTGTACGCTCTGTTGCCTAGCAACCAGTTAACATACGAAGCAGGCAAAGAATGGATGCCAAACTTCTCAATACTGTTCTGGGTGCTAATTACATTTTTGAGGAGCTTCAGCAGCAGAACCATCATCACGAATATCAGATTTGTATTCCCCACAGTGCACAGATATCTGTCCTTAAATTACAGCCAAACCCATTTACACAGGGACAGATAAAAACCATTAGATAAATCAAACTTTACCCGCCATATATCTGACTTAGTAACCATTTTCATTTTCACAACTATTTTCATTAATTTCAGACAGAACTATTTACATACAAGTATTATAATAAACTGCAATTAGGATCACCATTTTTCGGCTCCATTTCCCTTTTTCCTCTGAGCGTGGAGCAGCCGGCTTGCATGGACTCGCAATGAATCATGGGATACTCGAGGCTACGTAGGATACAGCGGACCTGTCCTTCATAACAAAAAAAGAAGGATGCATTTGTCGGCCGTATATCGAGGAATCTTCCAATCCGAATAGCCCACATCGCCGCGCTATGATTTAATCGGCCAACAATTCTGGCCTTTGGAGAACGCAGCCCCTGGATTCAAACTCAGCAGATGTGTCTGATATTATTTCCCTCCAACCAAGTGAATGTATGACAGCCTTGTGTGTACCGACTCTTCTGCTCCGCAGTTCACTCCGTCAGCTAATGAGTCTGAGTATGGAAAGGTCCACATTCCTCTGGCTCTCATGAGGTACAGAGACTTCCTGGCTGCCAGGCAGGTAAGACAGCTTCACTTTTTATTTCTGCTCATTATTGGATCTGTTCAAACTTGTTGACGCATCAGGCTTTTGTGATGTTAAAGTAATATGGCTCATGTTGTTGTTTTTAAAATGGGGATCCTGATCTAAACTGGTATTTCTGATGCACCAGGAGTTTTTCCTGATCAACAACAGGTTTATAAAAGCCTCTCTACACACTTCTTTTTTTTTTTTAACCCTCAGGTGTTTGGCGAAGGAATGCAGGTGAAGTTGTTTGCGCCGCCGTATTCTAAGATTGATCCCAACATCGCCATCATGCTGCTGATTTCCATTGTAACAGTGGCTTTGGGTGGCTACTGGAGTGGAGCATGTGAACGGTGAGAGCTGGTAGCGAACAGAGCTTCACCCTAAATAGGAATTACTTTGCCAATTAATCTGTTGATTATTCTTTTTTATAATCGGTTATCAAAAGGTTCCTTAAAGAAGTTTTTTACAAAAATAAACTAGGTGAAACTAAAACTTTTCCACTTAAGGAGTTCTGATAGAGTATATAGTCAGATGAAACGTTTTTCTTTTTTATCTTAAATGCAAAATATTTATGTATATTTTTAGAATTTTGGCGTAATTACTCCTCTCATTAGGTTTCTCTTTCAGCAAAAGGCATGTTTTAGAGTCTATATTCTAGTTAACCATTAACTATTACTAAATTAGTTGACAATTATTTCAATAATCAATTAATCTGATCAATTTTTTCAGCCTTAATCCTAAAGATTCTTATTTCTAAAGCTCAGCCTTTAGTAAAAGCTCACCTTTCATTTCCTTCTTTTGGTTTTTATCAGTGCAAAGTTGATTATATCAAATCATTGCAGCTTCTTTATGCATGTCCTGTACTTTTCTATGTATTATCCCGTTGGCGTGAACACAGTCCTGCTCAGAGAATTTTCTTTTGAAGTTGTGAGAGTTGCTCTTTGGCGTTTTAATTAGATTTGATGAAAATTTTAAGCCTCTTAGTATAAAATATGTATTTTGATCGAGATGAGAAATCTGCATCCTGGTTTGTTGAAGTACTAATAGTTTGTGTACAATCATTTAAATAAACAGTCTTAGTTTTTGGGAATATATAAGCTCATGAATGAGCTTGGAATGGCTTGAGAATAAGCCATAGAAAAGAAAGTAAGTAACAAACTGTAATTTCAGGTGTTTTATAAAATATGTAAATCAGGAAATTGTCTATATACCAAATTGAACGATTGTTGCTCTCTACTTCAAAAAACACTTTAGATTTTAAAATCAAAATCTATTTAAAAATGTTTTTCCATTTTTTAATTAAAAATGTAATGTATAACATGGATGTTTAAACACCTCATTTTATTTCAGTGTTAAATTATGTTTAAATAAACAGATTATAGTTAAAAATGTCTCCGGACATTTACTGGTTGTTGTTTTTCTTTATTTGGACCCCGCTGATTTTTAATTGTTTACCTCTGATATAGTGTATGAAATAATGCAAATGTGTCGGCAATGTTCAGTGCGTCTTATTTCAGTAGATGTATAAAAGCATAAACTAGCCTTTATACTTTCAGTTCTCCATTAGGAGCAGGACTGCAAATATGATATTTTTTCTCAGTAAAGACACAGAAACTACTTTTTTAAGTAAATAAGTTGTTTATTCTTGATATTTAAGTTAACTTTTGTGTTTTTTTTACTGATCAGCAAGGATTGTGTCCACTGCCCTCCTCCTGCATTATAATTCACGTATTCTCAATCGCATCTAAAGCTCAAACTTGTTGCCTTTTTCCATCAGGGACCGACTGAATAGTTGCGCCGCAGGGGGAGGAGGAGATGGAGAAAACAAGGCGGACAGCAACAGGCTGTTCCTGTACTCCCCCCTCAGCGTCTTGATCTTTGTCATCTTGATGTGCGGGATGTTGGTGCTCATGTACTTCTTCTATAATATTCTGGGTGAGTTGAGCAGAGAGAGATCACTCTGATACAAGTTTCTGTTTTAATGTTGGGATCATTTGTTTTTTCTTTTTTATAGTTTACATCATTATCGCCATCTTCTGCTTTGCTTCTGCCTCTGCACTGTTCAGCTGCCTGGATGCGGTGCTGGATAAAATAGGCTGCGGCACTTTAAGGTAGGAGCATCACTCTATTTAAAAGGGAGCAGCCGATTTGTTGAAATATGAGCAAATTGTCTGCAGCATTGTTGAGATAACACTGAACAACTGTATTTCTTTTAAAAGTGTAACATTGAACACCTTTAAAGCTAATATTACACAAACACAAAGGGGGTCTTTTGGGGGTTTTGTTATTAAGTTTCAGCTTTAGCAAAGGAAAAAAAAAAACACGTCAGGCAATTGGCGCCTCCGCCGCCCCGGGCATAATTTAATACAAAAAAACAACAAAGAAACAATCATATTGTCTCTACACCTGATTATTATTAAGTTCAAAACAAACCGATCAAATTAATCCCGTATTGTCAAAGTCCTGAAAAGAACAAGTGTTTAGAAAAAATTTCGTTCCCCCCCAAAAAAATACAAAAAATAAGGCGTCCAAAAAATAACTCTCGTAGCTCCGCGTATTCGGTTAGAGTCCCCCAAAAAAAGTGTCTCACAAAAGTTGTGAAAATAGCAGATCTAGTTCAACAAATCATTTTATTGGTTGTAAAATAAAGGAATAGTTTTAGACATATAAGGTCTCCATCCCAAAGCAAACACTTCCTGATCTACTATGAATTATGCATTACACACAGATCGATAAAATTTTAATTGATTGAAAAAAAAAAAAAGCAAAGAAAAAAACATTCTTCTTTCTAATTTGGCAATTTTGGCTTTATTTCTGAGAATTTACCCCATTGTTACTGCTGCTCAGGGGTCAAAGTAGATTTAAATTCACAGGGTTTTTATAAAGTTAAACAATACAGAGAGACCCTCCATAATTGCCTTGTAATGCCATGGCGATCCAGAACTAAATTGAATGAGTATGTAATTAAAATGTTTAAATATTTAAAGGAAACAGAGGAAATGTTTTAATGACAATACAAGGAAACCTTTACATCATATGTAAATAGAAACAAGCACTATGAGGAAAAACATATTTAAAGATCTATGTACCTTTTCATCTGGCTCTTTATCCAGAAATAAACAGAATGCAATGAAATATTTTCTTTTGATATAGTTTTGGTAGAAATTTAAGAATAGTATCACCTCTTGTAAGCTGAAAGAAATCAAATCGTAATAGTTAGACAAAGGGATTTTTACGCTTGGTAGAGGATGATCAGCCACAGGGTTTATTAAGTAGTGATGGAAGAGCCAAACTGCTGAGAGCGAACCATCAGAGTGGAGCGTAAAGCGCAGACTCCGAGCTCCGCACACAAAGATGCATTTCAGTCAAAGCACAGATGGGAGATCAGAGCAGAATTAGCCAGAGTTCAGCCCGCAGTACCGGAGCTTTCTGGGTTATTTTCTCAGACTCTGTCTCTGCTGCTATGATCTGTGCTCCTGCAGCATATGCAACGCTGCATAGCAGGTGGGCGGCAGAAGCAAACAAGACGCAGCTACACGGCTGATATTGCTTTGCTGATTACAGCACAATGATTCATTTTAAACGTCTGACTGACCACCCGCTAGTTTTTATTAAGTTTCGTTGATGAAAACTCAAACCCATGACTAGTCAAGTTTTCGACAACAAAGATCCATGTTTAGCTCGTCAGTTTTTGTTATTGTCATGACAAAAAGGAGCGTCTATGAAATGATTTTTATCGTTGTAATCGCTGACGAAAACAACACTGCTGGCTGTTTCGCCGTTACGTGCTGGAAGCAGAGGCTGCGGTATCTGGGCTGGATTTGTTTATCACCTTAGCTGAAGTCTCCGGGGCGGTCGCTAAACTCTATGCTGGTAGAGCTTCAGGAGTGAATGAGATCCTCCCTGAGGAGCTAGGATACAAGTGGCTATCCCCCAGAGAGACGGGGAGACCCGATTATTCCCGGAGGCACTATCTGTACATTCAGCTCATATACATCCGGGTCACCCTCAATTTTAATTTATAAAAAAAAAACTCGTCTCTGCCGGAAATGGGATCCTACACTGCTTCCTGGAGCTAATTTTTTCGGCTTTGGATTAAAACATAAATCTAGTCTTTTTGAGTTTAATTTTTTTTCCTATCATTTTACCCTTATGGTATGTAGTGTTTAATCTATAATGATAAATGGTTAAAAAAAAAAGATAAGCAAGCAGTTTAACGGGGAAAATTTAAAAAGCATTGTCTGAGAAAATTCATAAAAAATGTTTTAAAGATGTGCATTAGCATTCTTTAGTCATTTAAGGATAAAAATAAGTACTTTTGGTACCATGATTACATTATGTTTGGCGACCTGGATGAATATCTGTTTGCACAAGCGCAAATGAGCCGATGGTACGGATCGTGCTCACAATGGATCGTGCTTCCGATAGGGATCCTGCTCACTACTGGTCGTGCTTCCGATACGGGTCGTGCTTCCGATACGGATCGTGCTCACTATGGGTCGTGTTCACTATGGATCGTGCTTACGGTACGGATCGGGTAGTGACAGGCCCTTCCACATGATCCAGAGGAGTGTGTCTGGGCAGAGGGGAGTCTCTGGTCACGACAGGAAGACGACAAGTATGAATAATATTTTCAAATTAAGCTCGTTGTTAAGTAATTACCATAAGAAGATCTAAAGAGGTCATGTGTTTACGTTGTGGGTGGTTTCACACAGCTCTTATTTTTCTGTGTCAGCTTGTGTGTGTCTGTGTGATTCTAGATTAGAAGCTGTTTGATAGACTCTGTATCCTCGATGTGTGTTTGTTTCCAGTTTTTCTGTCCGAAACAAGAGCTTCTCAGTGAGATCCATCCTGCTGGCTGCGGTGTGCATTAGCGTCGCTGTGGTCTGGGGAGTGTACAGAAATGAGGACAGGTACTATCATGTCAAACAAAACGCATCACCACACAGTGTATGCTCTGCTTTACTTTTCTTTCTGCAGACGAGCAGAATTAAATCTGAAAAAGAAACGCATCAGTTCAGCAGATGCTTTATTGCAGGACCGTATCAATTCTGGGTTTATTCATAGACACTGATTGTGATTATTTCCTGCAAATTTTACCGGCTTTTTGCAAAATGAAACCCCCACCCTCGCTTATAATATATTTACTGTTCAAAGTGTGATTTGAAGTTTTCTCTAAGAGCGGGTTTGGATAAACTGGAGATGCACTAGTCAGACACGCTGTAGCTTTCTGATTAGTTTTCTATTTTCTATATAGATTAGAAATGTTGTCTCAACAGTTAAATGTTCAGCATAAGTTGTTTTTTAAACAGCCAAAAGTTACGGAGCTTTTTCCATCTGTATCAACTAAAGCTTAACAATGTTTTGTTTTATAGGTGAATAATTTTCTAAAGTCACAGTAGTTTGTAAATTTGAAATGGAAAAGTTCAGGATTACTCCTGCTGGTTGGATCGGTAAACCAATCATGTTTTGTAAGGTTATCTAAACCAGTGTTTTTGTTTTTAACTTTAAAAGTATAAAGCGGGTGGACTTGGCTCCTGGACTTGTCACCTGCTGGACATCAAGCAGCCTGACTGAACCGCTGGTTCCCTCTTTGGAGAATACAGAAGCTTCTCACACTTTGCTTCCTCTGACTTCATCTTTAGTATCTTTACTCCTACTATAAAAATCTAAGCTGCTCATCTTGTCAATCTTAAAATCAGCCAATTACTGTCAGCAGCTGATACTTGGTCCACATCTGATTTAAAAAAAAATAACTGTTTTATCCTCATAGTTGGATCTGGATCCTGCAGAACCTGCTTGGCTTTGCTTTTTGCCTTAACTTCATGAAGACCATCACACTCTCCAATTTCAAGGTATATTCAGAGAGACTCAGCCTAAGTGTTAAGTCACTTTGTCACGTTTTATCATTCTGTAAAGTGAATTATATTGGTTTTTTTAATCATTTCTCTGATCTGGAATCTGTTTTTAATTAATCCACATTGTGTGTTTTTCTGACAGATCTGTGTGATCCTGCTGAGCCTCCTCCTTCTTTATGACGTCTTCTTTGTGTTCATAACTCCTTTCTTCACAAAGGTTCGTAGAAAATCATTTCAGTTTTTCTTCTCTTTTTAAATCAGTCCTATTTATTTTGAAAGTTTTTTTCTTTTTATTTATTTAAAAAAAATTGTTAGAAATTATTTTTGACATTAACTGAACATTTGAAAAACATCCATTTTTCTGTACTTTTGAAAACATTGTATAAATAAACATTGGTCTGTGGCCTGGTCTTCTTTTTTGGATCCTTTCATAAAGCAATGAGAAGTTGAAGTTAAATATCCTTGTTTTGTTTTCTTCTCAACAGAATGGAGTTAGCATCATGGTGCAGGTAGCTCTGGGCCCTGATGCAGCAGGGGAGAAGGTAAGTTTCTTTCTCTGCCTTATATTATGGTGCTATATTTAAATGTATTTCTAAACTTCTGCCCAAATATTGGGGAAATGCCTGACTTGTCCAGTTTCATTTCTATAGTTTCATACAGAAGCAGCGAAACCTTTGAAATCATAGCGGATATTGTTCAGTTTCACTGCCTCAAATTAAAAAATCTTTTCTTTTTTTAATTTAGTTAATTTGAGAAAATCAATCGAAAGCTTATTCTAACTCAGTGACTGAAACATTTCATGCTGCTGAACCATTGAACGCCCACATATGGTGATTCGTGTCATATTTTGTTAGATTTGGGGAAACAAGGGCACTTTGGAGAAGTTTACCTTCACCAGGGGTTTGTGGCAGACAGACTTCCTAATATGTGATCACTGCTGGAAACGGCTCATGGCAGCAAATCTGATCGGGCTGTTCCGTTTAATATTTTTTATTTTTTTTACCCAAATGTGGAAGTGAAACTAAATTAATTAATTCCTCAGTAATGTATTTGTTATCTTGACTGACTCCCATAAATAAAAGCAACGATTCCCGGCATGAAATTACAATTCTTAATTATTAACATTTCAAATTTTTTCTCTGGTCACTTTAAGTACTGATTTCCTGAGCAAAATTACAATAACGACAAAATGTTTAATTGAATTCAAAAAGTAAGACTCTCAGTTCCAATGCTAAAAGTAGAGTATTGTTTTTATTACATAGATCCAATAAAACTAGATTGTTAATCTAAGAATCTAGTTTAAGTTTAGGTGATAATCTGCTCTATGCTATTGTTTTTATTCCTGCCCTGTAAACAGCCACTGGTACCAGAAAAGGTCATATCTAAAGAAAAGCTGCAGTTCATAAGGTGTTATGTATTAGGAAAGTTCAGTGGAAGGAAAAAAATGTGTGGGAAAATGGATCACAAACAGGGATAACTTGTTATCTTGAGCGAATCGCGAATATAAAAAAAAAATCAATTCAGACAGTCAGGCTTTCATAAGGCCTGCAGCAGGAAGTCTTATAAAAACAAAATGTTTAAAATGTGTAAAATCGCTGAAATAAAAGAACTTTTTAATGATTATTTTCTAATCTTTTGAGATGCAGCTGTGTTTTGGCCTGGAGAAATGACTTAGTTATGCTTTTTTTTTTGTTTTGTTTTGTTTCCTAAATAGTCAATCCTCCTTAGCTGAAAATATAAAAAGTATAAAGAGATGTGCCGATGTTTGTAGCTCAGGGGTGCAGCAGCTCTTGAGTAATAAGCCCCTGTGGAACTGTTAGCAGCTTTCTAACCATGCAGGCTGTTGTTATTGCCCTGAGGGAACAGCAGACGGATCTACTAACTGTGCGCTGGGGTTGGGTGGGCTCTGTCTTAGACACAAGGTAACATGGTGGCGATCCCTGCTGAACCCCAGGCTCCTTCAGAGAAAGTAAGACTTGACTTGTTACCCATCCACTTCCTTTCTTCTGTCCGTTTGTTATGCTGCATCCTGAGTTCACTGGGCAAAAATGGAGGCCTGGAGTCCTTTAGTCTAAGAGGCTTTTTATCATTTCAGTATGATTGATGATGCAAGAATAAGGGATGAGTTTAGAATTGGATATTTTCCCTGTTTGGCTACCTCAATGTATTCTAGTATTTTCTTTATCACTATGCCATCACTAAATTCTTTCATCAAAGTTACTGAGCTAATGACAGTGGTTGTTAAAGGAGTTTTTTGACTCTGATTTCCTGGGCAAAAGTATCAACCCATGTGACCTGAGGCTATCGCAGTCATAAAGGCATCACCGCTTTGTTTACCTCCATCCAAACGGCTACTTTAACATTTAAGAAAAGCCTTGTGATGTTTGCAGATACCTGTGGTGATGCGTGTCCCGCGGTTCTCAGCTTGGGCTCAGAACCTGTGTGGGATGCAGTTCTCTATCCTCGGTTATGGAGATATCATCGTTCCAGGTGAGATTTCTCTGGCTACTTTCACACCACAGCCTGAAGTTACCCAAATCCGATTGTTTTTTTTTTTTGTTTTTTTGCCCATCCGCAAAGTGGATCTGATCTTTTCATGACAGTCTGAACAACACAGATCTGATTTTTTTCCAATGCGACCCAGGCCCCTTGGCTATGTGGTCCGATACCAATCAGATTTTTTTCAAATGCGACCTGTGTGTGAACGGCCAGGTCGCATTTATCCAACCTGAATGCCATTAGTAACCGACATAGGTCTCTATTCTGTCTTAGTACACAGAAGCGGCAAGGAAAACAAACTCCATGGTTTACCATCTTGAAAAGATTGAGGTTTTAAGGTTTTGAAAGATCTCTAAATGCGCCCCAGAAGCTTTTTGCATCCAGCTTTTTGAAGTGGAAGAAATGGGGATAATTGAGCTAAATTTGAACTCAATGTTACTGCTTTCTTTGTTCTTCTAGAAATCACAGATTAATTCCTTAACTCAATCTCTCATTTTGATTTTAACCAACAGGTCTCCTGGTGGCCTATTGCAGCAGGTTTGATGTCTGGATCAACAGCAGGAGGAAGATCTACTTCATCAGCTGCTGCATTGGTAATTTTCCTTCTCCAGGTTTACTGCTTAAATTAAAGGTGTCTGTTCTTTTTTTCTCATGTTTTTATGTCCACCCTCCTTCCTCCATTGCAGCCTATCTCCTTGGGATGGTGCTGACCTTTGCGGTGATGCTGCTGTCAGGGATGGGCCAGCCAGCCCTGCTCTACTTGGTGCCTTTCACTTTGATAACTTCGGCCGTTGTTGCAGGGTGCAGAGGAGAGATGAAGCATTTTTGGACTGGAACAACCTATGAGGTGAGAAGAGCAGAAAGGGAATTGGTTGCATAATTGGTGTTTTTATACTGATGAAAGTGTAATACCCCACATGTTACCATGCTGCTATTATTTCATGTGTTAGACCAAGATAAATAGTTAAAGAGCCAGTTTCATGCAAAATAAATTTAAATGAACTATGTTATAATTCAGTTTCTTCATCAAAATCATGCACAGAGTAGCGTTTTGCTTGATTCATCCATCTCTGAGTGCTCTCTGAGCTGCAGCATTTCCGATCTATAAAAATGAGCGGTTGGTGAATATCTATGCAAGAAGCCTGTCTCCAGGAAGCTGCGCCTGCTTTGTAAACGAACACCCACTTTCTCAGATCAGGGAGTGGCAATATGAGGCAGAGCGCCACCATCATGACGAAGTGGCCCCTTTGGCAGCTCATCTGCACAGCGCAGCAACTTTTACTAAATATATCGGGGAGTGTCGGCCTAGTACAGGGGTCGGGAACTTTTTAAAAAATCTATGAAAAATAGATTTTTTGGTTTGCTTATTTTAATAGGGTGTGCAGGAGGTCAATCAGACATTCAATATGTTTTCCAATGCTGTAAACATTTGTATAATAAATAAATTTAAACAATACATGTAAACATGTATCTCAATGAAAATGTGCATCATAGCCATAGAGATCAGTGAGAATCAGTCAAAGCCTGCAACACATGTCTAAGCGCGGCGCGCTGCTAGGCTAAGGAAGCGGCAGGGGTGTCTTTGTCCATGGATCCCAAAGGGGGAAAAAAAACGAAGATACCTGATGAGAACAGTGGATTCAATGAAGAATGGACAAAATAATTTGCTTTCATTATCATTGCAGAAGGATTGCCTGCATTTTTGCTTTTGCACGAGAATGCGTGAAATAATAAAAAATAATGCGATTGCAGAACTTCTGGATAAATTAGAGAAAAGCAAAGATAGATTTAAGAAATGGATTGCATCTCCAAACTCCACTACTGCTGCTAGTTTTGTTTCAAGCATGAAAAAGGTCGTCCACAGATCAAACAGGTAGCGCTCTGATGCAAGTATGTGAATTTTTTTTCCATTTTTTCCCCCCAATTGCTCAAAATGAAAATATCACCAAGGAACGCTGGTGATAAAGGATGTGGGATTTCAGGGTTAGAGAGTTCTGCTCTGATAGATGTCAGTTCCTGCTTGTTTCCTCATGACTCAATCAACCCCTCCCAACAGAAACACGTCCACCATAGAAAGATTCCTTTATGTTGTTTTTATAATTTCATTAATGCAACAAAACCTAAACTGCACAGTGAAGTGGCGCGCGGTGAGAGCGTTCACTGCTCCTCCCTCTCCTCATGCTGCTATGTGACATTTGCTCCAGGATAAACATTTAATCATGAATGCTTATTATATATATATATATAAGCCACATAGTCCTTTTCTATAGTGGGATAATACACTTAGAGCCCGTGTTGCCATGCAAGGCTTATATAAGACTTTTATATTTTTGTGGCTCCAGACAGATTAATTTTTTCGTCCAATATGGCTCTTTGACCAGTTTGGGTTGCCGGCCCCTGGCCTAGTAATTAGAGCAGTGCGCTTGTGCTCTGAGATGGTTGCAAGTACCCGGTTCGATCCCCACAGGCTGCCACTGTGGGTCTCCTGAGCAAAGACCCTTAATCCCACACTGCTCCCTGGGCGCAGCACAACGGAAGCCCACTGCTCCTCAAGGGGATGGGTTAAATGCAGAGAGTAAATTTCTCCAGTGTGAGATCAATAAAGTTCAATTATTAGTATTATATAAAATCTGTTTTTTTAAATTTTTTTTGGGGGGGCCGTCAGAGGTCTGGGACTTTGTTCATCCTTCAGAAATGTTGTGATACGGCGATGTCATAACCATGCATCTTAAGTATGGAAGGAAAATGATGCATTGTTTAAAAGAAACTTCAATACATTTAATTAATTTCAGAATCTCATTCACCCACCTTTTCTCTGATACCCTCAATAAAATAATGTAACCAATGCCTGCAGAACTTTCCCTTCCTCTCACTGTGCAAGTTTTGTAAAGTTATATATAAGACTATTCAATGCCAAACTATGCAACATTGAATTAATCATCTTTGGCTTTTCATCTTTAAAAAATTAAATGCATGCACGTTGATTTAAGACACCAAATCGCTTATTGTAATAATGCATGTTATTTAAGAGCACCTTTTAAAACACTAAAGGCTACTTTACTAATTAGTGTGGTTTGAGTTTGGATTTAAACTGATTTAAACTGAGAGATGAAAAGCTCCTTCTGAGGTGAAATAAGGGAACAGGAAGATGAATTGAGGCTGTTTTCTCATAAGTCATATGCTTATAACATATGACAATAAGCAGCTCTATCAGCGTGCACCAGATCAGGATATGACATCAGTCCGTCCCTCACCAAAACCAATTTGAAAGGAGAATTTTTAGACAGTCGTGGGATGGAAGAGTAAAGCACAACTGATGACTTACAAAACTTTGGAGGAGCTGCAGAGCTCCAGATCTCAGGTGGAGGATTCTATTGTCTTCACTGCTGTTAGTAATGCAGCTAATAAATCAGATTTTTATGGAAGAAGTTGGAGAAATATCCAAAAGGGGCTGAATTTAATTACAAATATCTCATTTCAAGTTTTTCTTTTCAACATTATAAATCGGTGTGTCTTTTTTCTTTCTCTTTACTCAAGGAGTTGGTAGGGGAGTGACGGCCTAGTGGTTAGGGCATAGCGCTTGGAATCCTGTGGGTCTGAGTTCGAGCCCCACTCCCTCGGGCTGCCACTCTGGGTCCCTCTCTGCACTCTGTGCGCCGCAAATGGCATCCCACTGCTCCCCAAGGGGATGGTTTAAATGCAGAGTGAATTCCTCCAATGTGAGATCAATAATTATTTTATTTATCGAGTGTTTTTGTTCACAAAATCTCAGTAAGCCGGCCTAAAGTTCTCCTTTTCAATGTGACAAATGATGAAAAGTAATAGTGCTTATGTGAGGCGCTGTATGGCCGCTGCTACCACTCAGGATATTCAGGTGCTTCTAAACAGAAACACAGGAAACCAATATGCTTTATCTGCAAACCATACCAGCAGCCAACGGTTTGTTAGTCTGTTCCGCTTAACTATTTGTCTTTATGAAGGTGCTGCATACCTACGAGCCAAACCTTTTCTACTGCAAGCTCTCTGCACGCTCCGTTATCCATCCATGTTTGCTTTAGCCAAACAGTAGAAGCTAAACCTCCATAAAGCTGCAGTCACTCTGTATTTCTGATATCTTAGGGCTATTTTTATGGGACACCATTTTTTTGGCTGAAAGGTACTTTAGAGTAGTATTATTCTACGTCTTTCAGTGATGATGACTCACACTTCATGGTTCTCTGCTGTGGAAACATCCGGGTAACTACTGCAGCATTACTCGTACAGTGATTCGAATCATTTTAGTCTATTTTATAGCTAAGTTTATGATCTATGAATAGATTTCTATAAAGTTTCTCAAAAAGCTCAATTTCAGGTCTGACAAAAGAATTAGGTCAACTTTTTAAAATGCTGATCCCAGCAGGGTGAGGTTTATAGTTTAGCTGTTAAACTGCGTTAAAATGTGTTTCTCTGTCTGTCGGAGTGAGGGGAGCAGGAGCAGCAGGAGAAAGATATGATTTTGACTTTGATTAATTTTCACCAGGTTTTGGATTCACCCAGGGAACCTTTGCTGCCAGGTGTGCCCCCCCCCCCCACCAAACACAGACCCCTTCCTTTGCATATTTCCTGTCATTAGTGTTGCTTACCGTGACGCATAATCATCTGTCTCTCATAAGCATTTCTTTTTTTCTTCTTTTTTTTTTTTAACCTCTTGCTAACTCCTGATTTCCAGGGTCAGTGTCCTGCTGAAAGTCTAAATAGTTTTCGTACATCTAATAGAGTAAATCTGCCATGTGGAACAGCAAAGTGCTTTGCACCAACTGACCAGCAGGGGTCTCCACATGACGACAAACAAATCTGAAAAACTTTGAAGCCACACTTTGATGCAGGCTTGTATTAAAAGTCGTGGCCCTGGAAAAAAAAATTATTTTTAACTTCATCTCTTAATTTCTGCTTTTTGTGTGTATTATTTTTTTTACTTTTATCCCTGCATTTATCCTTTTCCGTCAACAGGAATAATGATTATTAAGTTAACATTTTCCTTTAACCTTTGGCATGCTGTTGCTTGCAGTTAGCGTGGAAGAGCTATTGCATGGATTATGGATTTGTGGTTGGGTTTTGCTACAATTTTCTGCCTGTCTGCAATGTATGCATTGATCAATATGGTTTAAAATCGCATTTTGGGTGATCTATTTTTTTTTGTTTGTTTTTTGTGTTTAAGCTGTTACCACTTAATTCTTAAAATAAATAACGCTGCCTGACCTTTTTTTTTTTTTTTATCTCCACCCCCAATCGCAGAGGGAAGAACTGACCGCTCCGTAGGGGAAAGCTGCTGAGCCCCGACTTCTGGATCCTTTTTAATTATTTTTATTTCACGTTGCATAGCAAGGGAACACAAATGTTTATTCTGACTTTTCCTACATTGTGAACTCACTTTAACTGACTTGATTTGGAGCTTGAAAAGTGCTTGAAAGGGGAAAAGAAGATGATGTAATTAATCAATCTTACAGTACCTAAGAGGTCTGTTATATTCACTAACATAAATGGCAATGGTTTTGCCTTGATGATAAAAAAAACAAAAAAACAAATCAGAATGCACTTTATAATATTTGGCTTAATGGATGTTTTCATATGGGGGGGTAAAAAAAAATATATACCTGCAGTATAAAACTAGTTTGATAATTGAGGTTTCTGTATAATCTTTTTGTAAAGACTTCTTTCTTTGCCTTATATTAAAGAAATGTCTTAATATCCTGTGTGTGTGTTTTTGTTTTGCGTATTCTAATTATTTATTCTTTATTTCTCTGCATGAACAGTATAATTTGGGAAGCATTTTAGAAGTTTTTACAGACAAACACGTCATGTTTTGTAATATTTAAATATATACAGCTGGGCTGCAAATATTATTTTGCAAATCAATTAATCTGTCAATTTTTAAATTTTTTATTAATTGATTAACAATCAGAACACCAAAGGCTCCATTAAGAAAACTTTTCACGAAATTAAACCAGGTGAAACTAAAACTTTTCCACTTGCAGAGTTATGGATAGAGCATAATGACACACAAAGTTTTTATTTATTTATTTTATCCTAAATGCAAATTTTATTTTATTTTATTTTTTTACAATTTTGGTATAATTTGATCGCTCTCTCTGCTAAAGGCATGTTTTAGAGTCTCTACACTGCAGCTTATGATTATTTGATTACTACATTAGTTGACGATTAATCCGATTGTTTCTGCCCTAATATGCAGTACACACAATGAAGTAGTCGCACCCCAAATCTTTTTCAAATTTGTTCTGTAGAAGCTGCTTGCTTAATTATACTCTTTTAGATTTGTATTTGATGACTAAAAGTAGCAGATAACTGAAATGGAAGAAATTGAAACATGGTTTTTAAAATGTTAAACAATATAAAAACTTAACAGTGGTGCGCATATGTTTTCAGCACCATTTGTATAAATTCACCTGTTCTGTGATGGGGATAGAGGTTTAATAGCAAACATTAGTGATCAAAGCCCATTACAAAGATTAAAGAAGATGGCATAAAGATCATAACAATATATCCCAGGTTTTAAATGCCAATTAAATCTACCATCAAAACTTAAAAAAACAAGAACAAAATTTTTTGTTTACGTTTAATCTGATACTCCTTAGGGTGAAGCACGGTGATGAAGCGTCTTACTGTAGGGATACATTAAGCCACATTGCTGAATATAAACGCACCCCTAAATGTTCAGATGTTCATTTGTAAATACCTTTTAAAACCAAAAAAACTTTCTTCCACCTCACATTTTTACACTACTTTGAACTGGTTCTTAAATTCCCAAAATGCAGTTTGAGGTTGTAAAATGTAAAAAGTTTATAGTTTTCTCAAGACTTTACATTTCCATAAACTCCATTTCTGTATAACATGAGAATATGAATATATATAGAGAGATTATGTATTTTAAACTGCCTTAAATCACATGATTTACACACAGTGATTACTGATTTCACCTGTCTCTTCAGGGAAAGGCTGTTAAATTATCATTTAATTTTCATTAGAAAATCCTGAGACACTGACTATAGTACAAATATTACTTTAAAGTTGTTTTTTCATCAAGAAAGGGATTTCAAAATGTTATAATCTGTGTCAAATCTTGAGACACATTTTTATTAGCAACAGTCATCCAAAGCAGATTGAGAAGGAAGAAAAGGTGTAATGAGTACTTCTTCTAAGGGCTTCGATTTATTACTAACAAATAGTTGTTTTTTTTTAAGTTTTGGGGGAATTTAGAAAGTACTTCGTTATATGCATTTTGGGAAAACTGAAAATCGGTCAAACTAGCTGGCATTATGATACCAAGGTGTAAAACGCAAGGATCATAACGGAGAGGATGTAAAAAGTATAGAGCTTTTCTCCATTAAAAATAAACATTCATTCAGCGCATATGAATGGTTAGAAATACATCCTTTTACAGTCAGTCAGGGGCGGATTTAGGAAATTTGGGGCCCTAGGCAAAGACAGGCAGGGGGCCCTCTGAATTAAGAAGAAGACACATAAAAAAGGCCCATTATACAGATACAGAAATTTTAACAGAACAGAAATACATTATTTGTTCTAGGTTTTGTCCCTCTCTTCTTGTCCCTTATGTTGTTGTTTTCCTCTATGTTTTTCCTGTGTTTCTAAAAAAGGCTACGGCAAAAGTAAATAACCCAGTCCTTCCTTCCACTGTAGACAAGCCATGATCTGCTTATCTTGTCTCGATTTTCCATTTGGATGAAATAATAGCTGCATGAATCATGACAGCAGACAAGATAGAGGAGAGCAGGAGGCGGGGTTACCAATCTACTTGCTCTGGAGAGCAGAGTTTGCTGCTTTTAGATGTCTCCAAAGTCTCCACTAGCTGAAAAAAGTCGCTAGATATGGTGCTAGGTGCTTTTTTGAAATAAAAGCGCTAGAGGGGTCTGAAAAGTTGCTAAACATAGAGACAAGGTGCTAAGTTAGCTCTTTTAAATCATTTGTTTTCAAATGGTTAGCTGCTTCTTTTGGACCTTTCTGAACATGTGCAGCAAATGGACTGATCCAATATGGTAGACACTGAAGGGGGGGCTGAGACACATTTGATATAAGCGTTCTGATGGCATTTTAGCGAAAAAAGATTTTTATCAAAAACTTAATTAATGTGCACAAATAAGGAATAGTTGTATTAACCATACATGTAAACAGAGTTGTATGGGGCCCCCAGGAACTTGGGGCCCTAGGCAACTGCCTA